GTCTAGTTAGAAATAAAATATTAAGGATTTTGAAGAAAACAATAAGAATCTATAAAACATTTCTTGTAATTTTCCCATTTGAATTAACTGCCCTTTCGGTCATTTAAATGTGCTTAATTCAGGAGGAACACAGCAGAGGAAGGCTTCCATGAGCCAAGTCCAGTCAATTGTAAACGGTCAATGAGGACATCTTATCAGTCTTTTTTGTCAAAGTATCTTTGATGTGAAAGGTCAGTGTAGAACACTACAAAGCTTTAAGGAGGCGAAGGACTAATTTGAGGCCGTGAGACCTTGCGAATGCCTTTATAACACTGGGATGGGATCTGACCCTCAGGGGACACGGTGGACTCCTAAACAGTGCTTGCCAAGGCCTGTGCAGTTCTTGGAAGAGAAACAGTAAAGACTTTGAAGATGGTTCAGAAGCTGCACTGTGGGCCCAGTGGGCTGAAGTGCTTATACTGAGTCCCTCTGCCCTATATTTTGGGGTGCTGGTGCTGGGTCCCTGTGCTTGTACTTGGGGCTGATTTCTTCCACGCACCAGGGCAGACCCGATGCCACCCTTTCTTTTGTTTTTATGACACTAGCAGCACTTTTGTTTTAGAAGCAAAACTATAGCTTGTAGAGGTTAGTTGAGGTGAAGAGCAAGTGAGATCAGGGGACGGAAGGGAAATGCCTGCAGGCTGCAGTCCCCGGCAGAGGGATGACATCCAGGGATGAGACAGCTGCGATTCACGAGAGAAAAGGCAGAGCATGGGCAAGCGCCATCCACAAAGGGTCAGGGTCAACAGGGCTGCCCCCACGGTGTCAGGAGTGGACAGAAAGTGGCTGTCCATGAAGGGGGCAGGGGCTGAGGGTCGCAGGCATAGGAGCACATGGTGCCACGTGCTCCAACAACGTGCTGCTGAGGAAATAGTCAAGACTGGCCATGGGCCTGCTGGCCACTTAACGGGACAGGAATCCCACACCACATGCTGGGGCGGGGGCGGGGGGGCGACACTGAGACACCCGAGTGGGCTGCGCAGTTTCCTGAAGAATCAAACAGGCCATTGTCCGTCCGGGGACAATGCCTGAGGCCTGAGCAGTTACCCACGAGTGGACGTGACTCCCTGATCAGCTCCCCTGGGTAAGGCCATCCATTCGGACAAGGCCAAAGCAGTCCTCTCGGGTAGTGAGGCTGCCCACACCCATCACAGCCTCTGGTTACACGGGATGGATGAGGTTGACTTAGAAACTTGGTGCCTGATGATGAACTTCCAAGACACAGGATGGAGACATGGAGGTTAAGGCGCCTTCAGAGGACCAGGCTGCTATTTGCCTTAGGGGACACAGGAAGGTACCCCCTGCTTGTCTTGGGCAAAGGAGTCTGCGCCCCCCGGTCAGTCTCCGATACCTGCTAAAACCCACATCCTCTCCCTCCCTCCCTTCCTCCCTCCCTCCCTCCTTCCCTCTCTCCCTCCCTCCCTCCTTCCCTCATCTTTCCATCCTCCTTCCTTCCTTCCTTCCTTCCTTCCTTCCTTCCTTCCTTCCTTCCATCCCTCCTTCATCCCCCCTCCCTTCCTCCCTCCCTCCTTCCCTCTCCCCCTGCCTCTCTTCCTTCCTTCCTTCCTTCCTTCCTTCCTTCCTTCCTTCCTTCCTTCATCCCCCCTCCCTTCCTCCCTCCCTCCTTCCCTCTCCCCCTGCCTCTCTTCCTTCCTTCCTTCCTTCCTTCCTTCCTTCCTTCCTTCCTTCCTTTCTTCTTTCCTTCCTCCCTTCCTTCCCTCCTTCATCCCCCTTCCTTCCTCCCTCCCTCTCTTCTTTCCATCCTTCTATCCAATCATGTTCCTCATTTGGAGGAGATCCCCTTTCCCTGATTATCTGAGAACCCCAGGCATCATGTTCAATCACGACCGGGCGTTGAGTCCCAGTTCCCCGGGCCCTTCTCTGCTTCCCATGCATCTAGACAGCGACTGTCTCACAGCACGGCCTTCCCGAGCGTTATAGGAGATATTTTAGCTCCTGCCGTGACAAAGGCCTATTTAGAAACTGCAAGCATAATTTACTCACCTGATTTATGAAGCAATTTATACAACCTAGTATATCCAGGAAGTATGGGGATGGATCTTTGTTAAGAAAATAAGGATCTCTAACAATTGCAAGGCTCTGTATTATTACATTTTATGATGGAACAAAGGAGATTGGGCAATTATCGCTCTTGTTTTATTAAACCTTTATACCACTGTTAGAGGTTAATAGGACGATTATTTTTCCTACTGTCAAAATCTGCTTCGAGGCCTGATGCGGTATGCTTGGTGCCAGAAACACACATGGAGGAGCATTGGAACCTTTACTTCTGTAGCAGTCTTGCAAATCTCTGTGACTCGCTGCCTTCCAGATCAATCCCACATTAATAACACAGCAATCATGTTATCTCAGACCTCAACCTGAAGCCAAGCAGCAGTTTTGGCAATTTAATATCAAGCTTAGCAACTAGGATAATACTATTATAAAAACTTTTGTTTCTGCAGCCAGATAAAGTAAATCACGTTAATGACTGACAATTATTCCCATGGGGACAGAGCAAACACCCCCTGGATATGTGGGTCCCTGGGAAGGCTGTTGAGAAAAACGACAGGAGCGGTTTCCAGAGTGAGGTGTCACAGTCGGACAGCCTCATGTGAATCTGCCACTAAATCGTCCACCTTCCATGGATCAGCCACTGACAGAACCTGCCTCTTGTGGATCAGTCACTGATAGCACCTGCCTCCTGTGGATCAGCCACTGACAGCATCCACCTTCCATGGATCAGCCACTGACAGCATCTGTCTCCTGTGGATCAGTCACTGACAGTGTCTGTCTTCCATGGATTAGCTACTGATAGCACCTGCTTCCTGTGGATCAGCCACGGACAACACCTGCCTCCTGTGGATCTGCCACTGATAGCACCTACCTCCTGTGGATAAGCCACTGATAGAAACTGCCTCCTATGAACCAGCCACTGACAGTGTCAATCTTCCATGGATCAACCACTGAAATCTCCTGCCTCCTGTGGAACAGCCACTGAAATATCATGCCTCCTGTGGATCAGCCACTGACAGCACCTGCCTCCTGTGAATCGGCCACTGATAACAACTGCCTCCTGTGGATCAGCCACTGACAGCTTCCTCCTTCCATGGATCAGCCACTGACAGCACCTACCTCCCGTAGATCTGCCACTGACAGCACCTGCCTCCTGTGGATTAGCCGCTGACAGCATCCACCTTCCGTGGATCAGCCACTAATAGCATCTGCCTCCTGTGGGTCAGCCACTGACAGCACCTGCCTCCTGTGGATCTGCCACTGACAGCACCTGCCTCCTGTGGATCTGCCACTGATAGAACCTGCCTCCTATGGATCAATCACTGACAGTGTCAACCTTCCATGGATCAGCCACTGAAATCTCCTGCCTCCTGTGGATCAGCCACTGACAGAGCCTGCCTCATATGGATAAACCACTGACAGCACCTGTTTCACATGGCGCAGTAACTGATAATGCTTGCCTCCTGTGGTTCAGCCACTGATAATGCCTGCATCATGTGAACTGGCCACTGAAAGCACCTGCCTTGCATGGATCAGCCATTGACAGCACTTACCTTCTGTGGACCAGCCACTGAGAGCACATGCCTTTCGTAGATCAGCCACTGACAGCACTCATCTGTGGATCAGCCACTGACAGAGCCTGCTTCACATGGATCAACTATTTTTAGCTTCAGGACTGCTCTCCGAAGCCTTGGTGCTTGTACATTGGTCTCCCTGAATTCATTCTTCTCACTCCTTCTCTCCGTCTATCCCCGTGTTCTCATGAGGCCACTGTCCACACTGCTGGGCCTAAGGAAGCCCCGTGGACAGAAGCCAGTGCTGTCTGCCCTCAGGCTTTCCAGGGGGAAGTGGACGGGCTACATATGCACCCAGGATGGCAGGATTCAAGGGAGCAGCAGGCTGGGCAGAGAGGGACGAGTTGCTGGAGGTGGGGTGGGTAAGCGCTGCTCAGCTCTTCCCAGTCAGGCCAGTGCAGGGGAGCTGTGTGACACGGCGTGACCCATCTGTGTGGGCTGCGCCAACCCAGAAGTAGAGAAGTGTGTCGGATGGGAGCCTGGGCTGGAGTCTGACCCAGAGTTCCATGCAGGAGTAACTGGATCCAGGGGCACCTTCACAAGCGCAGGCGGGCCCCTGTGATGCCTGCTCCCCCCACCTCTGTCCCCTCTGTTCCTTCTCTGCCCAGCCCCGGCCCCTCACAGAAACCACTCAAAGGAGAGTTGTGTTCGCCCCCAGCTGGTGATGGCAACTCAGGACCAGCCTAGGGCTGACACAGGGCATGGCCGAACTCTCCCTCCCCCTCACACTGCTGGAGTGAGCCGAGAAGGGCATACGCATGCGCCCGCTGCTCGGAGGCCACAAAGGAATTGTCAGCTGGGGGCAACACACTAGGGCCTGTCTCAGTGACTCAAATGATTGTGTGTTTGTGTGTGTGTGTGCGTGAGAGTGTGCACATGTGTGAGTATGTCTGCGTAGTGGTAGGGCACAGAGAGGATGGTCGGTGATCGGAACAGGAAACAGAACCTCGTGGTTGGCAGTGAGGTTGGCCGGGTCTGAGACCTGACTGGGGGGCTCACAGGGAGGACAGAGTTGGGCACACCAGGGAGGCAGAAGCCCAGTGCCTTGTCTCCGTCCCCAGAGCATGAAGGTCCCGCTCCTACCAGCAAGCTTGGTGGCAGGGGAAATGTGGTAGAGGAGAGAGGGGACGTGTGGATGCTGGGCCCCTGGGGGACAGATTTACAGATGGAGATGGGGGCAGAGAGACTTACAGACAAAGACTAGGTGAGACTGATGGACAAAGATGGGGCTGAGTATGGATGCAGACAGGGGCAGACTTACAGACAGAGAGACTTACAAAGACTAGGTGAGACTGATGGACAAAGATGGGGCTGAGTATGGATGCAGACAGGGGCAGACTTACAGACAGCGACAGGGACAGACGAACTTACAGACAGAGATCTTGTGGTTGCTGTCCTTGCCGGGCAGCAGCTTCACACCCCGCGACTTCAGCTCGATGGCCTTTTTCACTGGAGGAGACAGAGGAGATGGTCAGTAGGGCGGCCACACCGGCTCATCCCAGCCCTCCCACCTGACCACCACTTGCTGCAGGCTGCACACCTGAGCAGAGCCATGGGCACCTGAGGGCCTCTTCCAGCTCACTCAGGCCGAGCAGGGTGCTTTGTGAGCTGGCGTGGGAAAGCTTGACCCAGACGCTGGTGCAGCAGAAGGCACCGTCCCCAGATGAGGGCCCCACCACCACCAGGGCTGCACAGCCCGAGCTGCACCCAGCCCTAGCCTGCACCATCTGGCGCGTGCACTGAAATGGAGCATGGCGAAAGCCCACCTTCTGGTCACTGTGGAATGAGGGGCAGAGGCATGATGGGAGGAGGAAAGTACTTCCATGGAACCCTACTGGTTTTAAGTATCAAAGTGATTTTATTATTTTTATTATGAATAATAATAATAGCCACCACTAAAATGGGGACATTCTCATTCACAGATGGAGGTCAGAGGGGCTTCAGGCCATCTTTGCTCCTAGCAGGACCCAAGTCACTGGGTGTGGCCATGCTCCTTGCCTGGTGCTTCTCTGTCTTGTGTGTGCATGTGTGAATGTGAATGGTGTGTGTCCGTGTGCAGGGCTTGTGTGTGAGAGGTGTGTGTGTAAGAGTGTATTGCGGTGTGGGTGAATGTCTGTGTTGTGTGTGAGAGTTTTGTGTGTGCAAGTAGTATGTGAGAATGTGTATGAAAGTGTGTGAATGTGTGGTGTGTGAGTGTGCGGGTGTTGAGGGTATATGTATGTGGTATGTGTGTATGAAAGTGTGTGAATGTGTGGTGTGTGGATGAGAATATGTGTGTGCGAGTATTGTGTATGTACATATGATGTGTAGAGTGACTTGAAGGTGTGTGAATGTGTGAAGTGGGTGAGTGCGTGTGAGAATGTGTCTATGTGTGCTGTGAGTGTGCACATGTGTGTGAGAGTCATGAAAGTGTGTGAATGTGTGCTGTGTGTGGTGTGAGAGTGTGGGTGAGAATGTGTGCATGAGAGTGAATATTGTGTGTGTGCCTGTGGTGTGTGAATGTGTGGTGTGTGTGTGGATGCGTCTATGTGAGTGTGTGTGTGTGTGTGTGTGTGTGGTGGGAGAAGCCATGTGAGCTCGTGTGTGTGTGTGTGTGGTGTCAGGGGAGCGGGGCCACATCGTGCCGCTCAGGGTATACTCCTGCTCCCTCTAGTTGGCCTCAGGAGACCACATGTGGTGAGGACACTGAGTCAGGGCGAGTTGTGTGCTTTTCCTGTGGCCTCTCTCTTCCGGAGCCTGAGCTGAATGCCGGGTTCTCAGTGCCCAGCGCCTGCACCCTGCAACCACAGGACGGCCATGGAGCATCAGAGGTGGCACAGTGCAGGCTGTATGTGCCAGGAGCTTCCTAGCACCTGCCTTTTCCAAAGCCTATTATATCCATTCCCCTCCACAAACACTTCCTGACCGCCCGTGGCTGCCTGAGGAAGTCCCACTCAGCTGTCTCTTCCCCAGGAGAACACACAGGCTGCCTGGCCTGGCAGGAGACTGTGCCTCCATTTACCCCCTGTCATGACTCTGGCCTGGGGCTCCTGCACCACCAATACAGGCCTTGGCTGCCAACAACTCCTGCTCAAAATCCCCTCTTGCTCGGGTACCATAGTGGGGAACCCTAGGGAAGGAACTGGGGCTGACTCAGGGGTGGGGGCTGGTGGTACCTGGACCACGTCTGTGGGTCGAACACCCAGAAAGTATGATGTAAGTTCTGCTGGGGTGTAGACACATGGTCACCTGTCTGAGTTTCTGTATGGAGGACTCTTGGGACCAGCTCACTCGTTTCCCCAGTCCAGCTCTGCATGCTACCTTCCTGCAGAGGACCCACCAGTACTACCCCCAACCCATCCACCCAAAGGGCAACAGCAATGAGGCACGGTTTCCCCTTTTTCCCTGGCCACCAATTGTATGGGGGAATTCTAGAACCCAGCCAAGCAGACCTGTTTGCAGAATTTCTTTTTAAATTTCTGCATGGCAACTGTATTTTCAGTTTAAATTGGGGTCCCTCTCCTCCCTGACTTTAATGATTCTCATTTTGCAAACACTGATATTTTTGCTGTTTCCTCTGATGCCTTTGGAAAAGCCTCATTAATTTCATTAAATGGTATATTGCATCAAATTTAATGTAGTGACATGGGGGAGATGGTACATTCCTAACATAAAACTTCCCTCAGAGAGAACCATGATACAAAGCCTCAAGAACTGGCCAGCATGGTGCCTTCTGAGGGGGCCTATCTGCAGGTGATAACATGTACAGAGCCTCCTGTGGAGATGCCATATCAGCTGGAAATACCAACCAATCAAATGCAGAAATGCATGAGACACACCCTCTTTCTTCCCTTGTTACTGTCCTGAGCCCCAGAAATCTAGGATGAAGAGAATGCCTTTGGGTCATGTGTGTAGGGGTCATCTAGGAGTTATTGATAGAGATAAAAATGCAGCTATTATCAATTTTTGGAGACAGACGTTTGAGAACAAAAATGTTGGTGTCTGCCTCTGTGAACTTTGTGATTTCCCCCATATTAGTGAATTCCGATAACATCAAAATTTCATGAAAGTTAGACTCCACTTGGAAGAGAACTTGACTAGTTCACATGGCAGCCAAAAGACCAACCTACTGACAATGCTATAGGTCTCGATTACATTTAAGAGAGACTCTAAGCAGATGTTAAGGATATGTGATCGAATGTGTCATGTCCTGATTCCAGGAAGGGGGAGGGAATGCAGATGAGCTCCTGGGCACCCAGGAAGTTGTTTTACCCATGAATGCCTGTGTTTTATCCTTGTACAGACTCCCAGAGCTGGGTATTCTGTACTACAGACTTGAGCACAGAGGCATTTCTCCCAGCTAGAATTCTTTAGGAAATTACCAGATGATTCTTTTTTGGCTGAAAAAAAAAACTGGAATTTTCAAGAAAAGGTGATTATTCTGGAAAAGCCACACCTGCCTCTGTGTTCCTTAAACTTTCTGGCTTTTATTTTGATTTTTTTAGGCCTTTCGGATGGGCACCCTGATATGCTGTTGCCTTGGTTAGAGCTTGTCTGCTGATGGACCAGAGCTAAGGACATGGCTAACTTGGGTGATGGGGACAGAATGACACCTGTGAAATGCCAAGTCCAGACTAGATTAAGGACAAGATACAGACTCTGGCGCCCATGCCAGCCGTTGCCATGGAAACCAAGGGCAGGCGAGCGAGACTCCTGCAGTGACTGTTGCCTGGATTGAGGTAGTCCTCCAGGGCAGGAGAAACATCTAGGACATTCCTAAAAATTGGGACAGTCCATCTGTCCAGTTAATTATTTAAATAATGCACCCACCAGGCATATAACACCCTCATGAGGGGGAGGCCCAGTCCTGGGCTCCTAGAAGTGGCCTCGGGCTGCTGATGCTGGACAGAGAGTAGCGAGGAGAGAGCGTGGACCTGGACCAGGTCTGCAGGACACTACCCGATCCTGCCCTCCCACCCCAGCCCTGTTAGGGAGGAAATGAGGAGGGAGGGGCCAATGATAAGCCCACCAATCAGTTTCCAGAATTTACAAGGCATCTGCAAGCTGATTGGTCACCCTACAAGTCTTATTTGCATAAGAAATCTCATTGGTTGTCTATCATCTTTCCAATCAAATGCCTTTATCCGACATAACCAAAGGGCAGAAACCAGGGGCAGGGTGGGCAGGTACCTTGCATCCATCCCCTGCATCCATCCCCTATCCAAGAGGCGCCACCTTCCTTGTCTTCAGATCTTTATTCTGGCTTCAGATGTGAGGCCCTGCCCTTCCCCCACCCCAACAGTGAAAGACAACCCAATTTTTATTGTGCTGGATATTAAAGAGATCAGCTAGAGGTGATAAGAGAATGCGCTTCTTTTCCTTATTAGGGGTGAAATGACTTATTGCCTCAACGTCTCACGTCTTGCCAAGGGTTGCTGTTTCCATTGTCTTTTTAATATGGAAAAAAATGATGTTAAAATGAAATAGAGCTAAGGTGCTTTTGCATTCTGAATGCCCACTTCACCACACACACACACACACACACACACACACACACACACACACACCACTCGACTGTGGTCATCTCTAATCCTTAGCTCCTCTTTTTCACCTTAGCACTTCTCTTCCCAGGTCATTCAGAAGCAAACCCTGATAGTAAATCAATAGTTTCATAGCCCATAAACATTTCAGAATGTGCTTCTGAGAGGTGAAGATGCAGATCAGCGTCCCCAACACCAGCAGGAAAAGTGTCTGTACCTCTGGCCTCCCAACTCTGACGGTCACTCACTTTGGGTTGAGTAGACACTAAGTTGATGTGTTTTAATGAACAAAAAACATTCCTGCTCCATAGACAGACCCTTCTCAAAAGGGTCCATAGACAGACCCTTCTCAAAATAACTCAGAGGCGCAAACACAGCACTGTGGGTTCCGAGTGTCTGTGCACTGATTTTTCAGGGCAACTTGCACTGCAGTGGACCCACCAGCCTGCTGGAAGCAGGGCTTGAACTGTCATGAGGAAAGCACAGCTAAGCAGAGGGTGCAAGCACCTTCCCACTGGGACTGAATTATCTCTGCTCTTGTTCTGGGAACCGCAACTATTACCAGCAGTGTGATAAAAGTGAGGAGGGAAAGGAGCTGGTGCTGTTTAGAACTGGATTGTGCAAATGTGAGAGTCAATCACCATGGGAAGGGCACTGGCACTCAGTCAGGGGATGCCAGGCATGCATACAGCCAGTTCCCAAGGGTGAGCACTTCTGAGGCAGCATCATGACAGATCACCTCAAGGGTGCCGACTGGTGATCCACACACAGCCCCTGAGCCCTGATTTTGTCTGACTTGGTGGAGCTGCTTGTTCCTCAACCAGGTTCCACGACTGGATCACCATCAGCATTACTGGCATGCTGCCGTGTGGTTCAGATTCTGTGCATCCTGCAACAGAAACCCTGGTAGAATCTGATCTGAAATGTAAC